TGGTATTCTACGCCATTCAAGAAAAAGGCGATCAACGAATTGAATGCTAGAAGCACTGGGTCCGCACAATGATTAAGAAACATTGAAGAACAGCCACACTCGCATTCTTTTAGGGTTTGAGAAAACCAAAATTTATTTGATAAGCAATACCTTGATGAGTCACTGGGTCTCCTTTATACGAAGCGTAAAACAGGGACGAAATTGTTCCTGTGAAGTTCGTCCCCATGAGAAGTTCAACTAAACTAAAGGTTCTACTAAATATCTATAGTTCTAAAAAGAGATAAAATAGAATAGTGTGGATTCTAATAAAAGTCAGTAATGGAGAAATCTGAAGTTAAAGAAAGGAGTCATAGTTCACAAAAGCTCTTCAGAAATTCACAGTAATGAATGGAGCATTCTTCCGGATGAAGAGCAGGGGTATCAATAACCTAGAAAGCAGTACGCCAGCACAACAACACTGTCACAGTGGTGTTAAAATTCGTTTTCTTTACTGCACATTATAAAATATAATCTGCCTTGATTCGCAGAAACTTGAAAAAAGAGAGAAAAAAGGCTATGATAGCTTCCAAAAACCCTTGCAGAGGGAACATGGAAGTCGAATGCAATACCTACTTGTTATCAGTTAATTAACGTCCAAAAGTGCACTAAGATTTCAAATCTCATATATTACTGAAAGTTAAAATGAGAAGCATCACGATCACTTACAGTATACCATTTTCCCATTAACTTCCCAAGTTGAACATCACCCATCGAGTGGAATAGCTGACTATATACCTTTTGAGCTACTTCTTCCGCATTTAAAGAGCTTAGTATCTGGAAAAGAGTATATGAAATATAAATCCTTAACAAACACGACTAAGTAAGCTGGTTTTAGAATCGGATCGCCATAGCAACTTTCTGTAATAAGCACTCGTGCTTGAATTCATGATTGTCTGTAACGCCATTTATGCTCGCCTCCCGATGTATGCGTTCAGTAGTAATATTAGATCTACTTTCACTGAGCCTCGTCATAAAGGATAAAAGTATAAAGCTCTCAGCGTTGATCAATCCCTGAGAATGTGCTATGCATTTCGTCTTCAATTCTTGACTTCCCTTAAGGTGATTGAATGCGTTTCTGGCCTTTACAATGACTCGCGGTGGGTCTCCCGTTGAATCGAGTCACTGCTGCTTATCCTCCCAGACAAGTCTGAGACCAGTCTGGCACCATTTTATCCATCCCGGAGGGATGGATGGCTTTGTGAACAGTGAGCCTCGTCATATGCTCCCCCAGTGGTTATCGCTTCGATTTGCCATCTTCAGAACCTTTTAGCTGCTTATCATGGGAAAGGCCACCAGTATATAGTTACACACAGCGATTAAATTATAAAATCGTTAATCACATTATGTATGATCTGAGAATCGTGAAAGCGCCGAAATCGTAGTCATCGCTTTGAGCAACATATAACAGCCGCGCGATAGCTTGGAAAATAAATAGTTTTGATTATGAGCCCACTTTCCCTACATTCCCAGACAAGTGTGTGCAATTTTGCTGGGCGCCGAGACGGCGAACTGGCTTAGCCGAGCGAGAGGAGCATTCAATAGGATTTGAAAACGGTGTGCCCTTCTAGTAACTTCTAGTCACTGTTGCAAGCCGGTCAAACCCTGCAACGCTGAGCGATATTGTCCGCAAATGGACCTTTGCAATCAAACAATTCCACGTCGCCGCCGTCGCCAAGCCATTTTGCCTCAAGACAATGTGAAGCTACACGTTGCCAAGAATACAAGGAAGAAGTTGACCGATTTGGACTGGGAGCACTTGGATCGTTCGCCGTATTCCTCTGACGTCTGTCTCCGTTTGATTTCCATCTCTGCAGATCATTGGAGCACTGATTGGACAAGAAAAAGTTTCGAGACATCAATTATTTACGTCGAGAATTGACTGCTTGATTTGTTCTGAAGAATAATGAGTTTTATGAGCACGGAATTGATTTGTTGCCGGTAGTGTCGGCAGAATTACATCCAGGCAGACGGAGAATACTTCATTTAATGTTATTTGATACTTTCGATTACTTGGAACAACAAATTTTTGAATTTTTAGATCAAGTGAAGCTTAGTTGGAGACGTAGCAGAAAAGCGCGTATGTGGGGCATGTTCGAGGGGTCGTCGGGGCACACGTTCTCGACGGCCCGATCGAACGTTTATGACTCACTATGCATTCCACCTTTCTGAGGTAGTTAAATTGCCATAGGAGTTGTCTGCGAGGACGGCGTCACTGAGTTGAACGATAGGCCATCGCGAGTCATTCTGAAGACCAGATGTCCATTCAATCACTTTAAACGATGACTGATGAGTTCGAATGCCGTGTGCATCTCTCAAGGATTAATCAACACTAAAAGCTCAACTTTTTGTCCTCTTATCTATCTAACCTGTAGTTGTATTCTTTGCCGTGCTTTACTCAGCTCTGTATGTACTGTCTTTGGCTCTCCAGTAATATATGAGAAATCGAACATGTTGTCTATAAAAAAGTAGTTGAAAGGAAGCTTGAACCCGTACGTTGCCCTTTTTGTACCAATTAAGTATTATCACCTTGATGAGTAACTTTGATCGCCGGTAATTTTCTTTTACCAAATGTAGTAATATGTGATTGGTCGAAGAGCCGTATCGGCATTGTACATTGAATACGTACTGTAGTCAGCCAAGATTTATAATCAGATCTTGTCTCTGTCCTAGTGAACTGACGGTGACAATAATGGCACTGATTTCCGCTTTGCTGGATGCTTTCAGTAACCTTCAGAGGTAAGGTGTAGGCAGTATACCGCTGGCCCCCTATGATCCTTGATAGTTTAGTGGTCAAAACAAAGTGGAGTAATAGTAACGTCAAATGGATGAGCACATAATTTTGGATGTGTATGTAATTGTACAACGATTTCCATTTAAAGATCGAAGGCAACACACGTGGCTCTTTGACCCGTAATGAGTTCTCTTCCGGCTTCACTTCTTTTGCTTTAGCTGAGTGAATGCATTGACGGCTGTAGTGCGAAGCAGATTTGCGAATAACGTCTCGTCTTTGTGCTTTTTCATATAAGATAAGATTTATGAAGCATACTACTTTATGGTCTGATTTGCAAACCAAATTTACTCAAAGAAGTGACTAGCCGAAAAATACTTGCGTGATTTTCCATGAATACATTTCGTGTTAATACTTGCATCGTACTCCAAAGTGTATTTTGGAAATGTATGTTTCATTTGATAAATAGTTCAAACTTAGGTTTGATTTTCTCGACTATATGATGCGTGTAATCGAAGACGATTGAACTGTCTACGGTCCAAGTCTTAACCAATTTCCACAAGAATTCAATTTCAGTCATTCATCAGCTGCTACATTTTAAACGTTGTACAAAATGGATTTGAAGATGTCTCTCGAAGGCTTGTGATGAATTATTATCCGATGAATGAATCCCGAGAGAACTAGCATGGATGCTGCAACTTTTGTATATTCATGTTTGCTTAGAGCATGCTACAACGAAAAAATGTCCAACACCGGATTACATGAACTTGTGCTTCAAAGTGAAAGGATTCTACTCTGATCTTCCACAGTACAAGCACTCTATACTGGAATTTCCAGCGTGAGTTCGTCTTCTATCTTTTGTAATCGTAGGATTACAGTACGCTCATGTTTGATTCGAATGTAGACGTGCACATACCATATATTTGTGCCCTATGCCTCAAGAATCCTTTTTGAATCGCTGTACTATTACAATATTATTCTTTACCTTACTTTCACTGTTACCTTTTTTCTTTTTCTTCCTTGTTGCCATGATTGAAGCGTTTTCGAAAATTTTCCCGTTTTTGTTTGTAAAGAAGTAGGGGCAAAAATCATATTGAATAGACATCAAAAAACTAAAGCTTAATTATTGTCAGCGCATATTTTTTATTTAGTTAGTTTATTCCTTTCGTCATGGATTGGTTGAATGAGAGTGATGAACATTCAATAGACATTCTTCGAAATGAGTACAATAGGTAGGTAAAGACGATGTTTCTTATTATCAGAGTATATAGCTTACTATGGTAACGTGTCAGAATATGTTAATTGGGTCAGTGATCTTTATACTGCCGATCTTGTGATTTTCACTTGACGGCAGTGCAGTGTAAGTCGTTCGTCGTCACCTACCTCTTTATAGGGAGAGTAGGGGCTCCCGAGAGGATTGGTTAGAGAAGACGGGGTCTGCTCGACTGACGAGACTGTGAGGTCGAGATACGTGTATCGGGCTATACAAAAGCTCATCAACAGACCACATGCCATGTTGGCTTAAATAATAATTATGAGAATTGAAATTTGAGTGTAGTTAATAGTGCATTGAAATACAAGGTATAATATAGCAAAAGTACCAGCCAAGAGAGATCTCTATGTCTTCAACTATAACGGAATCCAATAATGTAAAGTGCTGTGCAAAACTTTTGCGTCAGCCGGGATTCGCACCCAGATCTCACCCTTCCCGGAAACGTGTGCTGGACCGTTGCACCACCGACGCGTCGTACATTTTGTGGACATCTCTACAGCTTTAACCTATAAGGCAACGTTAAATGTAATTAGCATCGGGCATAGTTAGCATAGGAATGATTTTACATAAGCTTTCATGATTGGTATAGCCAAACTATGCGCTCTGTATTCGACCTTATAAAGCGTCATTTGAGGCGACTGAACGTATATCTGGTCTATAGAATGACTTGCGGTAACTTAGCAATGTAACAATTCAGTGGCACAACGACTCAAGTATCAATTTGCTGGCCAAGAAGCGATAGAGTGCTTGATGAGCATGTGACGAGAGGTTGAGCTAACAATCACAGATCTACTGCACAGCACTTTTAGCCGTTGACCAACAAGCGCCCGTTTTAGCATGGGAAAATGTGAGTTAACTGGGTTATCTGAATGTTTTAGGGTAAATAAATAGTTTGAAAACCACTTTCTGATTGAGTCCTAAAATTGTTAAACATGATCGGTTTTTCTGCGTCGCGTGTGATTTTGGGAATTCAGTGTTGGAGAAAGAAATCTCTAAATTCTCGTAAATATTCTGACCTAGCTTGCTTTTGGGATAAAGCGGAAAACTTCCCACAGACTTCTGATCACACTCAATTCTCAAACAGTGTTGTCGATGTCTTCACGCAGTTGAATGAAGCACTGAAGATGCTCAATTAAGTAAGAAATGTACATATTCATCCATATTTGAACAGCATCCGAGACTGAATGAGATACGGAGTGATAGGGAATAATGGCATAGTTATAGTTTTACACATATAGCTCACCCTAATCTTTCTATATCATTGAAATACAGAGAACTCCTTGAGACACGCACGATAGACAGCGCTCAAAGTGGCAGTGATAGAAAATATCACCAAAGTTTAACAGGGTTGGCAGCATCTAAGGTCGCATCTGGCTATAAGGATTGACATAATCACCAAATATGAATGGCGTTAATAACATCTCAGTATTTCAAGCTTGTGATTCACAAGTAGTAGTAGAAGACTGGTACATTAATGATAACTATCCTAGAGTTCTACCGAGTTGACCAAACCGGTGTCAGGAGAATTTCAAACCTATGAACATATTTTTTCAGCTTCAGCTTCCGTCTTGCTTTCCGAGCTTCCTTCCCCGCTGGATTCCTCCTCTTCGCCAGCATTTGGCATCGACTTAGCATCAGCTGTGAACATAAGGAAACGTAGCACCTGGAAATGTATTCCTATTAGTAGTCATTTACTTGTGAGCTTAGCTTTGCTACTAGTTCTGAAATTCTGAAATGTGTTCTAAGTATCAGCTATAAATTGCTATCACACAACGAACATCCTGACTATAATCTCCGGCCTTTCTTGAACTTTGCGAAGAGGTCCAATAGGAGCGAGAACCGCAAAGATATCTAAAAAGAATAACGTTCAAAAGAATGAAGTTAACCCCCTTTCACACAGTCCCTTGAAAGGAAGCGACGCCCCGGCGACCGCAGCAGTCGACGTTACCTTCCAACAATGTTGTAGTTCGCTATGAATTCAGACTTTTACCCTTACTAGAGATCTCTTTAATTAGTTAACGATGGAATATCGCAGAAGAGACATCATGAAGCTATTTTTGTTTCAACATGCCAAAACAACGAATTGCCTGTCAGAAATAATACTGCTCATTTCATGTAATGCCACATCTTTAAATATCCGGAAATGTACTTTAGGGATTAAGACTGCTATAGGGTCGCTACTAGGCTTCGTTCTACTTCTTGAGGTTAACAAGTTTCTATATATCCATTCCACCTAACGAGGAACATAAGTCATTTCTGCAACCTTCAAGTAACGCAGACGTTTTCTCTAAAAGCCCATTCGATCATGAGTAGCAAACAATTCTTTTTTAAAAGACGGTTTCATCTTGAAGCAAATATAGGCAAGTTATATACCAGGAGTTTCACAAAAAATGGGCAATTGGCAATACCAAAACTATGAAAATGTAATTACTTATAGTTAATAAATTTGGGGTTTATTGCCCTACTGTCAAAGTTTATAGAACGACCTCAGAATGCATGATTTGTGAAGAACTGTGGTGCTTACTGCATGTGACGCATTCTCATCAACAACTTTCTAAAAATTTGGATTAGTAGTGCACTTCACGAGCTGATATCCTTACAGAAATATAAAACAGATTATTCCCTGCTATTCTGTAGTTGCGAGCCCCTTTATCATCCACTTATTTTTAGCCACGAACACTACTTGTCGCGAAATCATTTGTCACTGGATAAAGGATAACGCTCACGGCATTAAGTTATCACTGAAGAGATGCGCCATAGATTTCGTTCTCAACTTGCAAATTCGTTTGAAAAAACTGAATGCATATCTGGCCTTCACAATGTCTCGTGGTAGCCCTCCACTTCGTCACTGCTGCTTATCTTCTCAGACAAGTCTGATACCAGTCTGACACCAATTTGCCAACCTCGGAGGGTGTATGGCTTTGTGAGCCATGAACGCGTGATCAAACCAATCACCTTGGGTGCGACGCAGCGCACCTCTAACCACTGCGCCACATGCGCTCTCTTTTCACTAGATATGCGCACAAATTTTACGCGTACGTTTTGATTTTGAAACATATGGAGGCACATCCTGCTGAAAATTTACGTGTGTGAAACCCATCCACTAAGAACTTACCTTTTTCTGGCGATAAGATTTCGTAGACCAATCTTTCCAATCTGTGGAAAGATTGGTCTTCAACTGAATCAACGAAAACAATGTTCATGAGGAACGGATGGGTTTCTAATGCCCCATTCACGCTCGACGAACGACAATCTCCGAATGCTCCAGTTGCGTCTATCTAGATCGTGAAATCGACATGATGAACGACCTAGCTCCAGAGTTGAGCAGGAGGAAACGAGCGGCTTGGGGAACGTTTAAGAGCATCGAAGATGTAGTGAAGAGGACAAAGAACATCCAACTCCGTGCCCACCTTTTCGACTCGACAATTATCCCTGCCCTGACGTATGCAGCAGAAACCTGATCGCTACGTAAGCAGGATGAAAGATCACTTGCCGTTAACGAACGCGCAGTCGAAAGCTCGACGCTAGGAGTATCTCGTATCTTGCAAATGAGAGAAAGGATCCAAAGTTCCGACCTACGTCAACGATCGAAGATCCAGAAACGCCGTTCTACACGCCAGGACATCGAAAATAAGGTGGGCCGGACACGTGATGCGCTTCAACGACAACCGATGGACGAGAGCCGTCACCGACTGGATTCCTCGGGACGTCAAGCGCTCTAAAGGAAGACCAATGACCCGTTGGTCCGATTTCTTCACGAAAGCGATGGAAGAAAGAAATGATGCTCAGCGAATCCCTAGAGCGAGGAGAACCCACAGGCTACTCTTGCACGCGATAGGGAAAAATGGAAGAGTTGCTGGTACCCGCTCGAGTCACTCGACGATCAACGGGACGACAGGTGATACAGGTGAATATACCGAAGACAAATTAGAAAATTTCTTTGAATAATTCCAAAAAAAGAATGACTAAAGCATAAACGAGGTTGGTACGCCAGGGCCATACACCGGTGTTTCGGAGGGTTCGGCCTCCTCGTCAGTGACGCCCGCCCCACATTAAGCCTTGCATTGTAGCAAAGAAGGAGGCGTATGTGGTGATGGCACAGTGTAACGACACTGGTCCATCACCACTTTTCAGTCGATGAATCTCGGCTGTTAGATCAAAACTGGTCCATTAGATCGATTGTTTCTAAAACCTCGCAGTAAACATTCAAAATTATTCCAAAAAAGGATGTCTAAGGCCTAAACGAGGTTGGTACGCCAGTACCATACTTTCTTTAGTTCTTCTTTTTTTGGTTTCCTCGAACACATCGATGACAGTTTAGTTTCAAGGATTACAGTACTTCCTGACTTATTAACATTTGATAACAAATGTTGAATGTTGACGTTGTTGTCATCAAGATCTCATGATACTGAATAGATGAGTGAATACCGCGATCTTACCATCATCTCCTTCACAGACCTCATTCCTTTGATACTTTGGATGTCAGTGGACATTAGCTTTGTTATATCCTGGATTTTGGCATTTAGCAGCTGCTTTAGTGGCTAGAGAAAATTCTCATCAAAGAAATAAAAGATCACCCCCTAGGTGATTATATAAATGTTATGCGAACTTCTAATAAATCCGTAAGCGGCTCTAACACAATATCTACGTCCTGAAAATTGAAAGAGACAGATATTTTATTGTAATTCGCTACACATGTCTTGATGTTGCCTTCTCTATTACTGCAAAAAATTCTGCGTTATACTATGACACACAGATATTTGAGTAAATGAAGTGATAACAAATCTTTAGCCTATCATGACGTCTTTTGTGGCACTTATACAGTGCTAAACACGTGTTTCGGCATTGCAGTTTCATCAGTAGCACAGTGCCTTTCGGTTAAGCCAATCTCTTGCGGGAGATAGACCCCCTACATATAGTGGAATCGAAGCCGAGTAAATAAATCACCGCATGCCACGTCATCACCAGTCATAAGCGATCAACTGCTCGTCACTGCAATGGCGGTGATGTTATCACCTGACATGCAGTAATTTGTTAACTTGGTGCTGATTCCTTTAATGTACGAATTTATTTCCCTTAAGGGAGGCTGAACCGAAAAGCTCCACACTACTGATGAGGCTGTAATGTCAAAACACGTGTTTAGCACTATATAACAGAATCAACATCATAACGTATATAAACGCCATAGCAGACCTCATTATAGGCTCAAGGTTTGTTATTAAACTGTATATTGCTTTGCGCGAGGTTAAAGCACTCTAATGTAAAGGTATAATTGAAGTGAACTGAAGTGGATTTAACAGAGCAAACTACTTACTGCTGCGACTTGTGCCTTTTGGAGTTGAGGCCCCTTGATTTTTGACAGTAGTATGCCCAGAGTATTTGTTTGTTCTTGCAATTGGTTCGAGTGTGATGACGAACTAAAAAAAATAGTTGGGAAATAATATCGAATCTTCATAATTGTTCTGCTACAC